CCATGTGTGAAACTCCTTTGGCATGAATGGGTAAACTGTTTTGTTATAGTAGAGATTAGTTAAGTGCATGTTTCCAGGACTGTTGCAAAGGCATAACAGACTGGAAAGAATTGTAGACCAGTTTTTAACCTGCAGTAAACTTACTTCATCTTCATCAATCTCGCACAACTGGCTGCAAGGTATATGTACTGTCTACTGTAGTTTTTGTCTCACCTGATCTCCCCATTCCTTGATAGATCTTTCTATTTATATATGTAGTTTTAAATCCTCTCAATACTGCTAGTATTATTGATATTTTGATTTTTTTTTTTTTTTTTTTTTTTTTTTTTTTTTTTTTAATACTAATAGAAGAGAAAGAAAGAAAGAAAGAAAGAAAGAAAGAAAGAAATCTTACTGGATATCAAGGAAATGGGAAAATAGGTGAGATAAGTAGACTAATAATGGCCTTCTATGTGTAAACACAATAAACCAAAATCACAGAGGATATGGTATGTATGCCATGCCATTCCAGCACAATGGGTTAATCCAATCTACATTATTGGCAGCTTATGTATTTGCCCTACTACTATATAGAATATCTTTATTATCTTTTTCCCCATTTTTGTTGGATTACATACAACTAGAAAGGTCTTGAATCACTTCCAAGTACACTTTATCTTAAAGCCATATACTTTAACCCTATTCCAGGTCCAAAGGCTGAAGCAGGTATCCCCCCAAGCCCTATGGAGATTGCAGGCATTCGGAAAAGTGTTAGTGATCCCCAAGGACCTTCACTAGACCTTAAGGGAGCAGTGAAGACAAACAAAGACCTTTCCAGCAAGTCTGAAGTTCGTGTGAAAGGGACTAAGAGTGAAAGTGAATCCAAGAATTCCAAAGCAAAGAGCTCTAGTAGTAGTATTCATAAGGAACATGCCAGTGATACCCATAACCACACTGGTAGTAGCAAGAGCACAAGCTCAAAGCAGAAACCCAGTGACAACAGCAAGAGATCTAATGGCACATCAGCAAAGAGGAAAAGAATCCAGAAGGACAGTAACAGCAGCTCAGAATCCGATGTGAACTTTGAGTTGAACTGCAGTGATTCTGAGGGACCAAGCACTTCTGATAAGAAGAAGAAGCGTGTTATTACAATCGATTCCAGTGAAGACAGTGATAATTCAGGGTAGACATGTGAATTTTTGTGTAAGTGTTTGTATGTGTGTGCATGTGAGTGAGCATGCGAGTGTGCGTGTGTGCGCACGTGGACTTTCAGGCTTAAAATAGCGAACAAAGGTCACTGCAATCTGGTAACGAATATACCATGTTGCAGTTTATATTTTCATTCCACTGTTATTTTTCTTACAAAATATAAATTAAGATAACTCAGAAATATTTGTTTGATGACCCAAAATGACATAGAAATTATGGTAGTCACATTTCCCCTCTTGCTCAGCTCCCACTATCTAATCTATTTGTCAATTACATAAAAAATAGAATTTTTTGTTGTGAAACATTAGCTGAATGTAAAAATTATCTGATCCTTCAATAAAGTTTACCCTCCAGTCTCAAAATTACCAAAAACTTGCAAAATTGTAATCAATAAAAAAAAGTCCACTGCATGTGCTAGAAACAAGCTGTCATGACAAATAATACTGAAAAATAAATAAATAAATGATATACAAGTCCCCTTCCCTGAGGGTAGTTACAAGAACATATACTGACATTTATGATCTCTTTATTTCATGGTTACATAATGCTCTATAAACATCCTAAGACACACCACATTGTAAGGAAGTACATCTTGTTTGGAAATTAATAATTTCTATGCTGTTTTAATTCATATCATTGTTCATTCTACAAATAATGCAGGTTTGGGCTATTTGTGTAAAACAAGTCCTTCGATAATTCTAAAATCTAAACTTATGGTAAGCAAAAATATATATAAATATAAAACAGAAACAGAGAACACTAATAAGAAAAAATATATATGATTGCTTGAAGACATTTCATATTTGGAGATATATGCAAAAAACAAAATTTTGGTGACTAGACAGAGAGAGATATGCACATGGGCAAGAAAAAATGTACAAGTTTAAAAAAGAAAACACTATGCATCGATAATGACGTGAAAAAGATGCGCATTTTAATTCACTCGTCAAAAGACGGTAAACCTATGTCTTTCTACTATAATTAATTAATTCACAACTGGGTTCATGTCCTTCTCTCGGTAAAGTACAAATAAAACAGAAATGTGATAGTTTTCTTTTAAATATAATAATGATAACAAAGTGCCCATAATAAAGCATTTCACAGTCAACAACATCTGGTTATAAATTCATTCATTAGAAAATAGAAAATACCAAATAAATCATATATCAACAAAGCGTCTTATGAACAGTTAAAATGAAAAATTGTACACACAACTGCATAAGCTTTACATCACTTTAAAACTGCTATAGCATAATGAGAAAAACTTGATCAACACAAAACAGTATACTGTGGAAAAGGTACAAAGTTAACTGTACAAGGACAGTGGTGTCGTCTAAAGGTAAAAATGCCGGTTAATGAAATACACACATCGGGAAAAAAAATCTCTCAACCTCTGCATCAACTTCAGTGCTTATTTCACGTTGCTTTTCCCTTATGTCTCTCCCAAGTTAGTTACTCTAAGCCTACCAAATTATAAAATAATATATATATTTATATATATGTATATGTATATAAGTATCTATATGTCCTTGCTGAAGACCGACGCAGGGTACTTGAGGTTTTTGTTTGTCCCGAGGCACGTATTTCATTAGCCAACCCTCACCTCTGGATGGCACTGCGGGCAGTTTAACCAGGTCTTGCCGAAATGTCTTAAAACGTGCATGTTCTAGCAAAGACTCACAACTTAATGCATATCTTGTGTCTGTTTTATCCTCATTTTCAAGCTGCATATTTTGGGAAGCTATTATGTACTGATGTGTATTGTATGTCACTCCACTCCAACGCCTGTTGTATTGAAAGTCAGTCCTTTGTTTATTTATATATTTTTTTTTAATATATAGATTATTTTTGTGTCACAAATATTGCATTAGAAAAAAAAAAAAGTTAAAAAAAAAGTAAAAAAAAAAAAAAAAAAAAAAAGAGACAAATTTACAGACCTTAAAATAACTGCGGTATCTATCATGCATAGGAACTTTGACGTCTTGCCCCAAATAAGAGCCAATGCCTAATGAAAGCACTGAATGGCACAACAGATGAACAACTCCAGTTCACAATCATCACTGTAAGCAGGTGGGACAATCTCACTGACAGTTTACCAATCGATGCATGAACCCCACCTGCTCGTTTATTGGTTAACCTGTAAGAATTTTACCTTTCTTCTTCTTCTTATATCTTGACTAAAATTTAAGGAACTACAATTTGCAGACCATCACATTTTTTGTCACAGCATTAATTATATATCTAAGGTACAAAGTTAACTGTACAAGGACAGTGGTGTCGTCTAAAGGTAAAAATGCCGGTTAATGAAATACACACATCGGGAAAAAAAATCTCTCAACCTCTGCATCAACTTCAGTGCTTATTTCACGTTGCTTTTCCCTTATGTCTCTCCCAAGTTAGTTACTCTAAGCCTACCAAATTATAAAATAATATATATATTTATATATATGTATATGTATATAAGTATCTATATGTCCTTGCTGAAGACCGACGCAGGGTACTTGAGGTTTTTGTTTGTCCCGAGGCACGTATTTCATTAGCCAACCCTCACCTCTGGATGGCACTGCGGGCAGTTTAACCAGGTCTTGCCGAAATGTCTTAAAACGTGCATGTTCTAGCAAAGACTCACAACTTAATGCATATCTTGTGTCTGTTTTATCCTCATTTTCAAGCTGCATATTTTGGGAAGCTATTATGTACTGATGTGTATTGTATGTCACTCCACTCCAACGCCTGTTGTATTCCCCCATATAGCCATGCCTCATGAAAGCACTGAATGGCACAACAGATGAACAACTCAGTCACAATCATCACTGTAAGCAGGTGGGGACAATCTCACTGACAGTTTACCAAGCGATGCATGAACCCCACCTGCTCGTTTATTGGTTAACCTGTAAGAATTTTACCTTTCTTCTTCTTCTTATATCTTGACTAAAATTTAAGGAACTACAATTTGCAGACCATCACATTTTTTGTCACAGCATTAATTATATATCATGTTATACAAAGTAAGAATCATCACCACTTTAACCCTCAGTCTTTAAAATATATAAAAAACAAAAATAATAATAATCAGAGTCACAGCAATGATAATTTATAAAAAAAATGTTACAGGAAATTCACGAAAGTCGAGGGTTTGTCACACTGATTGATATCAATTTAGCCTAAAATGTCTCCACTGCCTAGAATAGATGGCTTTTTCTTTCTCATATAATCTCTAAACTCCAATATGTACTTCTACAAACTGACTATAATTCTCTTGACTACAGTGGACTAGTACCATATTCAGTTCACGTACTCTTATAATATATAATGCATCAATATATAGTCTTGTCAAAGATACTGTGTAACAAGTTTGGAATTTATGGAATATATAATCTTTTTTTTTTCCTTTTTCTTTTCTTTTCTCCCTAAATTTTAGAGTTCTATGTAAAGAGTGATTCTTTACGCACTTCTTAAGTCACTTTGTGCTTTCAGATTAGTTAAGTACAGGAATTGCACCCCTTCCCCTTTCTTTGCTTAGATATTCCACAATACCTCTAAATTTAGGAACGTGTAAACCGAAGGTCGAGAAATGAAGAGAGAGCAGTAAGTGCACGATCACATCAAGGTGACACACTGAGATTCTATCACAAAATACCAAGCTCATTTTCCATTTCTCAAAATCAGTTCGTCATTGCAGTCAACGATGCACAAGATAAGGCTGTTCATTACCGCCACTTAATTCCTAACAGTGGAGACTTTTCATTTGTTTGTTTTTTTCATCACATCTTTTCATTACTGTGTATATATAAATCTTGGGCCTGTGTTGAAAAAGAAAAAAAAAAAAAAAAATGTAATAATAATCATAATCAAAACAGGAAAAGAAATATTTGTTAATTATCTAGAGAATATTGCACTAACCTATTATCGCACCCTCTGGAGATGTACTAACCATACCCACAGACATATATCGTAACACTATATCACACAACCTTCGCATGCAAATACAGAACTCGCCTCTCATTCAAGCCCTTTCAGTTGCGATTATAAAAGTTTCTGTGCAGCTTGCTTCACAACACACGTACTTGTAACAGCTAAGGCCATATTCCAATGGGAAGCATTTTTACCCATCCATCCTACCAAAAAATTACAAAAAATAAGTGTTGAACAATTATACATACATATTTAAAACACCACGTTATCAAATCTTTTCACATCCTATAAATACAAAGTTGGGGGGACTCCAGATCACCCCAGCGACCACATTTCATGAAGAATACACTGTACACTAGCATGAAATGATCCGTCAACATTACCTACCTGTTTCTTGGGACAATATTACCTTTTTTTTATTATTTATTAAGATCATGATGCAGTCTTGTTTTATTTTTAAATTTTTTTATGTAATCTATTTTTTTTTCTTTTCAATGACTTTTTTTTCACACAATTGCATTTAGATCATGTCATCCTAATATTTTTTTTTTTTTTTTAATAACTTTCTTTTATAAGGAAGAAAATCATAGACATCACTATCTTCTTAACAAGAAAAGAAAGTGGAAATAAAGGAGGCCAACAAATACTAAAGTCTACAGGGTAATTGGAATAGAATGCAATCTAAAAAAAAAAAAAAGAAAAAAATAAATAATAATAATAATAATAATAATAATGATAGTAATAATAATAATGATAAAAAAAGAAAAAAAAAAATCTTCAGTATGCCCATTTCATCCTAATATCATATACATTAAATATATCCCTACCAATATTCTTCATTGTACTCTCAACACACTAATTTATAATCAATGTAAAAAATCACTTGATTAGAAGACCTTAAATTAGTAAAGTATATCTCTTTTTTTTTTTTTTTTCTTAACAGCCACCAGAAGAGTCGCTCACTGGGTATGAGATTCAACGCCTAGAGAACCTTTGGTCCTATATATCCATCTCGAGTAACATTCGGGACAACAAACGGCAACTCTAAAGAATATCCAGGGAAATATGCTGCAAAGATTCGAGCTGATCGCGTTGCCGTTCTTTCCGCGTGGGAAATGCATAAATCTTACACTATATATAACATATGATGGGAGAGGGGGGGGAACTTCTTTTTTTTTTATTATTATTATCATTCACTTAAATATGCTTAAAATATCTGCTTTAACAAACATAAAATTGGTAAAGATATTTAAACAGATCTAAAGTGGTACTTGTAACAAATCATCATATAAAGGATAACTCTCCTGAACTGGGCTTAAGTACAATAAAAAAAAAAAAGAATTGTCAGATTCCGTGTTCCTGACAGAGCAACTGGCTAAAACCACTGAACAATGAATGACTTGTAGTAATTCTTACTTCAACAACAAACTTGAAAGGTAAAAATATCTATTCCTAGAATTGTAGAAACAAATAACGGCTACTTTTTTCATTATCTGATTTAAGTCTCAAAAAAGTATATCCACTATAAATCTTCAGATAAAGTAAAACAATAATACTTTTCCCCACAACAGTAGCATGTGTTTTCACTGCCTGCAAAACCACACGCCAGTTTCATCTTTAACGGAAACTTAAAACCATGGCTGTGCAGAAAACCAAGTGAACACAATGTCATTTTGGACAAAAACTCAGAACCTACTACATCCAAGCCCTGTTAACACAAGGTAATAATAACGATCAATGGACTCCTTCGTTCCTGCTTGTATGCACAGGCTCTTCATCTTTATACAAATCTATCTGAAAAACCTGAAGTCAAAACAACTACCTTTAGAACAGCAGTGTCAAGAATTACTGGCATCTAAACTTGACTATGCTCCTATATGCAGCTATGTGAAAGAGCTCCTGATGGTCAGTATTCTCAATAACAATAAGTATACTCCATTTAATACCTACAAGTGGTATACAGTATAGACACAGCTTGAGTTAATGTTGACAAATGCCCTGCACTAGCTTAAAGTTATTCTTCAGGTTAGTAAAGACAAAACAAAGGTAAATGTAAAATGATACAAAAACAAAAACTAAAAACAAATGATAATAACAGTAAATAAATAAAAGGAATATCTTTTTTACTTAAAATGAGTGACCATATGGAAATTCAGTGCCAACTTATTCTTTCTTGGACAATTCAAAGCTCTTAAAACTGCTGAATTACAGCTCAATATGATATGCTATTTGCAAATATGATATAATCATCAAAGGAGTTGAATCATTTCATCTTACAATGATACTCAGTGAACACTACCACCTTCTCTTATCATGCCTAGACAAAATAATGATATCCTTAAGTTGTGTTGGCCCTACTACTTTCAAATCTCCTCTTAGAAAGACTGTAAACTTGGAGACTCTAATCTAGTTCGGTTCAGACAGACTCCAACTACGTATTCGTCTATAAAAGCACTGCGAGAACATCTCAGTAAGTACATGTTTTTGGCAGGCTCTCTGGGACACTTTCACACCACACAAGCCTGCTGCGGGCGGGAACACTTCTCCGCTCCCAAATGCAAATCACAAGAACTTCCCACACGTGTGGGGGGGAACGAGACCACGTTAGTTACCATTTAAGCGTACCTTTCACTTCCGAAAAAAAAGAGAGAAAAAAAAAAATCCATAATACACTCTCTTTTTTTTTTTTTTTTTTTTTTTTTTTTCTTTTTTTTTATGTTCCATAATTCTTAGCCTTTACAAGTGTGTTTCTTTGCACCAATCACTGGCAGCCTTTTCACAATGCTCATCACACTAAGAACAGTTTCTCAATGGTAGCATTCAAATACATTTACATATAATACTATACATATTATATGGCAAAGTTTAAGTGCTTGGGAGGTATGAAAAAGGAAAAAATAATAGGAAGAGGGTGAAAATAAAGTAAGGAAAAAAATCCTGGGTCTTGAATGGTGGCAATGGCATTTAAAGACACATCACATCCGAAGCCATATAAAAATCTAACGTTTCATGACTGCAGATGCGGTCTTTAAACTGACTGGCCTTGGCTGGTTCAATCCCTTACACTAACTACCACCTAAGATAAATGGGATTTTGTGTCAATTATTCACAATCACATACAACCTCGCAACCGTGGAAAGCAAGTGTGTGTATATAATACTTTAGTTCACTTCAAATAAATTTTACCCTGTATAGCTTGGACCATTGCGAGAGTTGACGTGCCCAGGGTTCAAATTAGTTGAAAAGCTTGTCTTTGAACACTAAGATCGTACAACTTGACTGGAAGAAAAACTGACCAAATTATATATTATGTAGTATAAAAAGCAATGGCTACAAACTTTTTCTTCCTAACCAGTGGCCAGCAGTTGGGAAAGATCACATCTGTTTTCACGAGCTTCTATCCAGAATTAAGAAACTAGAGAGCACAATATTTTGTATCACAAAGAAAGATATAGCTGTCACTTTCTAAAATATTTGCATAACATCAGAAATAAAATGGATCACCTTCCAATGAATCTGAAAAAAGGCATATCTAACGACTGGAAGCTAAAGGACTTTACAGCATGCATTAAGCGCTACACGTGGCCAGTATACGCACTGTTTGGTATTCTAAAATAAGTTGACTACAGCTTTCAACTCTCCATACTTGTAATATGGAAACACTAATAAGCAATAATGTTCAGAAATCTGGACAGCTACTATAGACTACAGCTACCACATATGATCCATAATTGTACTACACAAATTTTAATGTCTAGCATCGTAGGAACCTTCAATCATAAAATCACATCTTCTAGATGAAGATAAAATAAGCCAACAGACTTGACTAATTAAAAATGATAAAAATAGTTTCTCCTAACTTTTAGAAGTGTGATGGAGCTTCTTATTTCGTGCTTAAAGTGAGATGTATGTAATAATAATAATATCTGGACCTCATGTGTCAATATCTGTTAGCTTGACTGTGTAGGTACTCTGGCCACAGCTCCCCCGCTTGCTCAGTGGTGATACTGTCGCAGGGAGGGATCATAGGGCCAAAATGGCAGTGGGTATAGGGTATGTTGGCTGGCTTGGGGGGATTGGTTCATGCCATCCAGCGCAGCATGGTTCTGCATGTGTGGCGGCCACTGGGGGGTGCTGGATGGGGTCTGGGTCGGTCGGATCACTCCCATATGACTCAAGTTGTCTGCCGTCATTCGACCCAGGTTGTCTCCTAGTCGGCCCATGGGGTCCGTGGCACTACCACGACTCATACTGCGCAGGTTGTCTCCCAGACGACTGTAGTTATCACGCTCGTCATAATGAGACATGGTGTCAGACATGCGGCTCTGATTCTCTGCCATGCGCCTCAGGTGCTCTGCCAGGTAACCGCCCGGGGTGCTGCTCATTCTACCAAAGTTCTCTGCAGCCATCCGGCCTAAGTTGTCCGTCATGTGTGGAGTGTCTGTAATGCGGCCTGGGCTGTCTGTGGCAGAGCTTCTCATGTCACTCATGTGGGACTGTGGAGCAGCAGATATGCGCCCTGAGTCATCACTCATGTGGCCTTGGCTGGCAGTCATTCGTGTGAGATCTTGTGGCATGTGCAGGGGATCCTCAGTCACAGCCATGGAGTGGTGCTGACTCATTCTCATCTGCTCTTCTGCCTCAAGCTGCTCCTTCATCAGCCCTGGGGTGTCCCGACGGTCTGTCATATGTCTCATGTCCATGTGGCTGGCTGTGTCTCTCATGTGCAACTGGCTCTCATCCATTGGCTCAGAGCCCTCTTGCTTCATAGATAAACTAACTGTTGAGCCCAAGGACACTCCCAACATATTTTTCACAGCAGAATTAGCAGCACCGTAGGCTTTTTCACGTATGTCTTCTGGTGCTAAGTGGTGAGACAAAGGAGAAGAAAGGTACTCTGGATGATCTGGTATCTCATCTGGTAAACCTTCAACGTGCATGTTGTGTATCTTTTTCTTGTGCACTTTGAGGTTGTAATCATTGGCAAAGTACTGACCACACACCTCACATTCATGGTTGAATTCTGTTGGGCCAAAGTGCTTCTTAAGGTGCTGGCAGAGCCCTGCCCTCTGATTGAAAGTCTGCCCACAGTGCTCACACGAATACTCTTTGTCCAGTGAATGCGTCTTGAGGTGCTGCTGCATGTTGCTCTTCTGGCTGAAGGTTTTGCCGCACTCGGGACAGGGGAAGTTCCCTCCCTGGTGGACCAGTTCGTGCTTCTCCAGGTACTTCCTGCTGGTGAAGAGCTTCCCACAATAGCAGCAAGGGAGACTGTCATTGCTGTGCACCTCCATAAGATGGCGTCTGAGATCTGTCTGCTTGAACATGGTGCCGCAGATGACACAGGGAATGTCCTCGCGGTCCTCATGCCATTTGACGTGCTGGAGGTACGTTGTGCGCTTGTTGAAAGTCTTACCACACATGTTGCACTGGAAGTCCCCATACATAAGGAGCTCCTTCTGGTTGTGCGTGCCGTGCTGCTCGGCCAGCCGCAGGTGCTTCTCCAGCTTCTCCCTCCACGAGAAGCCCTCTCCGCATGACTCACACAGGTACAGGTTGTTCACCTTCTCGTAGATTTTGCACTTGCCAGAGGTCTCCAACTTGGTGATGTGGAAGTCGAAGTTGGGCTTGTGGTAGAAGTGGACCTGGCAGTAGTGGCACACGTATTTGACTTTGTTCTTGTGGTTGTTGTAGTACTCTCTCCTCTTCTCGATTTCCTCCTTGGTCAAGATAGGCCGAGGCAGCATCTGCATCTGGGAGTTGCCGTTGGAGGTGTTGGCCAGGTCGTGAGGCCCATTGGCCCCCGGGTGGTGGCCCTTGTTCTCCTCCGAGGGCTCATTTTTCACCACCATGCCGTCTTTGAGGATGATCTGGGGCTCGAAGATGTTGCCGTCCTCATCGATGGTGTCGGGTCTCTGCATCCCAGGGCCATCTGGAATGCAGCGCACTGGTCAAGTCTTGCTCCTCTTTTAGACTCAGGAGAATGTCTTGCATGAATGTCACTATGCAATATATAACACTCTTAGGTTATCCGCTTAAAAGTAAATTTTAAGATTAGCCTTAGAGTAGATTCTTAGCATTATCATAATCTTAACAGTAGAAAATTTAACATAAAATTTCCAATCATATCCAGATAAAAAGAGCGTTCTAAAGCAAGAGCCAGATTTCTACTAAGAGTGAAGTCCTTATATCAAAGATGCTGTTAATTTAAATTTGTTAAACAAGGGCCAAATTAATACGAAGACAAACAATCTATTTCAGACACAGGGAGGAAAATCCATCCACATAACCACACCAAGTCCAATGCAATGGTGTGCTACCTCCACAAAACGTGTTATTATCGTGTAGTGGCATTCAAATCAAGTCTCACATACATGCACAATCACGTAGGGGGTGAAAAAAAAAACATTAAAAAAGAATTTGAGAGAAAAAAAAAGAATAAAAAAAAAAAAAAAATGGAAATTCCACAACTTTCTCTTTATCTCTTAAACACAACTCTCATTGGTCAACCCACCAGAATTCCGGTACTCACAGCCTACAGGGGGAGGATACTTCCGAGGGCGTCCCCTCTTCCCTGTACCTGCTGGGATGTATTTCTTTTTCCTGCAAAACAACAGCGAACGAGGATTAACTTCTTGGACTTCCAGAGCGCTGTGGTTAATGCTTTTATTCTTTTCCCTACAAAAGAATAATGATAAAGGATTAAACCTAGTGGGTTCTGATTCTTCGAATTCTTTTCCACACACACACACAAAAAAAAAAATAAATAAAAATCAAAGAAAAAGAGATTCAACTTTATGATTTCTGAATTCAATAAATCAACAATAAATTCACTGAATTGTAAAAGATCAGAGTTCTTAATTCTTTTTACTTTTCTCAACAACAACAACAACATAAAACATCATAGATTAACACTCTCCTCATACTTCTACACACTACATGCCTGCCCAGTCATACCTGGAATCACATGACATGCCATCCCTGACATCACACCTGCCCAGCCATCCCTGACATCACACCTGCCCAGTCATAGATACATGACACCACATACTAGACATGACATGCATCCAATCATCCATTCCTGACATCACACCTGCCCAGTAATATATACTTGACATCATACCGGTTCAGTCATACATAACCCTCATTGCAATCAAATGTACATCTGTGCTAATACTCTATCTTAAAAAACATATCTTAGGTAAATCACTGACAAAACATTCAAACATATGAACTAGTTAAAGGACTGTCTAACAGTGAGGACATGTAAATGGGAAAGAAAAACAAGAAAAAAATAGTGTGGTAATAACAAGAATTCTTGCAGATAGGTAATGAAATAATTCTGGTTTGCAATCTTTTTACTGCACGATTGGCAAATTGTCAGTTTCCACTTCATTCTTTATGTATGGATAATACACCATAATGATTTCTAAAGACTCATGACCGTGAGTTCTGTTCATATGGTAATTACTGTATGACTGCTGATTTCCAAGGCTTGAAACATATGCACAAATATTTACATATTCATATACTCTCATATAAACTGTAGACCTTTAAGCAAAGACAGATTTGCCAAGTCATATTCACATGAAGAAATATTCACAAGGGCAGGGGGTGGGGTTGTTAATTACCACTCTTAGTAATTACATTGCTAACTTGCATTAAATAACACAGCTGACAAAGTGGACGCATTCATCAATGACTGGCACCAAGGATTTCGTCACAGTTTCCCTTGCGCTTGGTGGACTTATCACTACGTAACTCTTTTTTTTTTTCTTCTTCTTCTTTTTAAATAGCATTTTACTTCTTCTGCTCAAAAATATAAAAAAGAAATAACAGCTTTTCTAATTCTTTTCAAATACACCATACTGCAAGAAAGTATCACTGTGTTCACCGTTCTTACATACATCAATGTTTTTCAATCAATATTTGCAATGTGTAATACCACATCTATGTGTACCACAGAAACAGGTATGCAAAGTGTCAAGTTACAGATCTTTCACCAACAATTTCTTAATTATAGCAATAACCATGTAATGTCCTTTGAGGCATCATTTTTCTATTTTTTTCTGGATGTTTTCATTTCATTGTTTTTATTTTCCTTCATATTTTCTTAAAACATATTTGTCATTCTCTCTTGCTATATATACTTTTTTTCATTTCTATATTTCCCCTCTTCCGTTAACTTTCTCTTTTAAGTTTCCTCTTTGTCTTAGAGAGGACAAATATTTCTCTATAGCAGTATAACAATATCATATATCATGTATTTCTAGGATCTTCTTATTTCTCAGTCCTCTATATTTCTTCCATTTTCCTTGTTTTATTCATGCTTTCTTTTATTCTTTATCCTCTTTTTTAAATATATATGTGGCCTATTCTAAACCTTAGAGATCATGGCATAAACACTGAAGCAAAATATAGCAGCAACATATATTGGAGATCCAATTATCATCCACTGCAATAGAATTCTCAACATTTCCTTTTTTAATTGACAAAATCTGTCTCAGTGACACAGCTGGGTTATGGGCCGGCATGACCCAACCTTTTCAGTCTGGGGTGCTGGCGTGTGCGCCCTGTGAGCAAACCAGACAAACAAAATTCATAGGGTGTTTGAGTACCTCCAAAGGTCACCAGTCTTGAGATTTTGTACTGCTACCTAATTGTAACACCTAGCCTGGCTCACCCTGGTCAGTTTGTGGCACACAAAGGTTGGAGTCACGGCCTATGGCAGGTAGCAAGGCATGGAGTGTTGCCCTTTTGTCCTATGACAAACCTGTTTGTTCCTTTCATCAACAATGCCATTTCATCCTGGAGTAAATGGACATATAGTATTTCTAATACCACACACAAATATATTTTACATAATATACAGGGTGGCAGGTAGAAGGGGGACTACAACCCCACCAATCACTACTATAAGGTTCCCTCTTCTCAAAAAAAGTCTCTTACTTCTGAAAAAGAATCTAAACGTACAATACATTTTTTTAAGAGCTTTGTATTTCTAAAAGCAAAAGAAAAAGTGAGATTACACATATGGTTAGAGTATTTTATGTGAATTTATACTTAGTAATTTTAAGAAGCTAATTTAAGTTACATGTATATTTGAGTTTTACATGTAGTACTAAAATAAATATCTATTTCTACTTCATTATCACCATAAATTATCTTTCAATAGTATATACTAATCTACCTGCTCTACAGTATCAAAATCATAATAATCATAATCAAATATTTCCAATAAAAAAAAAATATATTCTCAATGTGAAACTAATGTGCAAATATCAACAATAATGTTTTACAACTTCCTCATAACAACAAGTATCTAATTTTACAGAGAGATAACTGACTTGTAATAAGGGGTATGTTCATCCACTCATGACAAAATGGCAATTTGTTACTACTATTGCCACTAAAAAGATTATTTATATTCATATCATTACTGACGATATCCTCATCAGCATTATTATTCTCCTTGTCACTACCACTGCTTTTATAATCACTATCATCATTATTCTCATTAATACTATCATCATCACTTTATACTATCGCATCCTATGAACTCCTATTGCAGTCTACACCATCGTATTTTAATCTATCTCATCCAAACCTTGCATAGCATAGCCTTAACTAACTTATCCTATCTGATCGTAGTCTATTCTGTCCCATCCTATCTTATCTTGATCTGATCTAATTTATTCTAATCTAATCTATCTTAACTTAGCCTAGTCTAGCCTAGCCTCGCATAAAGTCAACCATCTTATCTCGTCTTATTCCATCCTATCTTAAACTTTCTTATCCTATCTTGCCTCTTGTATCCTATCCTATCCTTCTCTACCCTATCTTATCCTGTCCTATCCTAGCCTATTCTACCCTACCCTATCCTACCCTACCCAACCCGACTCTTATTTCATTTATCAGTAAAAACAATGTGTAAGAGCAGATCCTCCATAGCACGATATCAAGATGGAAACAAGACAAATGGCTGCTACCACCTTAGTACAAGACGCACTCTGAATCCATGCGATATATGCAGAAAGCCTCAAGAAATGCAAAAACTGACAGAAGTGGCAGTGCGATAGGGCCTTTAACCCATTGGATCTGGATGCTTCACTGCCATCACAAGGCCCAAATTAGGGGCAAAGGCTTACTTGAATCGCCACTTTGACAGGTGAGTGGCTTGTAGGCCGGGCACAAACAAACACACGTGTGCAGCAACAAGACTCCATTCCTCCCCCTTACAATGTTATTTTCTTTTTTCTGCATGAGCTTTTTTAGCTTTTATGCCATTCTCTTATGTCTATAT